TGAGCCCGGATGGCTTGCAGTAGAATTAGAGCAGGGCACTGTATCACCCCAACAAGCCTGCAGTAGGAATAGGGTGCGGTGCCCATTTAACTCCACAGAAGTTCAGACTGACCCTGGTCTTCAGCTTCAGGTCTGTGACCTCAGTTGTTCAGCCTATAACACTATAGATGTTTCTTGGCAGTTTGATCTCAGCTCCCCAAACCTGGGCATCTCCCAGAGCTGTGTTTCACCTGGACACTGGTAACCACAAGATAGAGCCAACCCATGGCTATCTGAGTCCCAGGTTCAGCGGGCCCCACTCCAAAATGGCGTCCAGTCAATCACCCTCTCCTGGGCATGTTTGGACTAGAGTCATTCACCAGGTCCTGCAGCCCACACCATCTATTGCCTGCTGCACTGGTGCCTTTCTCCCTGGAGGCCTCCCTGGCCCCCAGCATTGCCACATCTCTGTAGGCTTCAGCCTCCTCTCTTACACTGTGAGCTAAGAGCCACAGAGAATGCGTGGTTTATCACCTGCCTCTTCTGCCTCTAGGTCCATCACCTCACTCTCCCCATGGACTCCTACTCACCCTTCAGAACTTCCCTGGGCCTCTGGGGTCCACTTCCTCGTTCTTCTCTTCCCCATGCTGCTGTGTTCGAGCATCTGGACTCCCAATTTCAGAAAGGCTGACTTGCCACTGCTCACTGCTCTGTCATCTTCCTGAAAGTCTGTCTACAATTTTTAAATACCTTTGTTCCTTTTTATTTTACCCTTATACTTCTCAATAGATCCTCTTCTATCTTCTAATCTTCATTTTACATTGTACTAATTTTGTTATCTTATTCTGATTTTGCCCTATGTAATAGTTTTCTTTCCGTCCTTGCTCTACCAATTTGCTTATTGTCTCTTCTTGTAGCTCTTTTGAGTTTTTTTAAGATTTAAATTTGTTTGAAATAATTTTTTACAATCATCCTTTTCTTTATTTAATGAACTCTTTTATCTTTTTTCCATTTCTCTTCCTATCTTTCCCCTTTCTCTATACCACTCCCTCTTCCTTGTCTATGTTTTATATATTTGTTCTTTTCTGATCATTACATAGCTCTGCCTGGGTCCAGGCATTCTTAAAAATGAATAGGGAGAGGTAGGAAGTAAACATGAGAAGCCCTTAGCTTCTCTAGTCTGGTTTCCTGAACTCCTCATCAGTTTTCACCTTCCCTTTTCTCTTAAAGCCCAAGTCATTCCAGTTTCAGTCATTAAGAGGCTGAAAGAGGCTCATGGGAAGCTTCCCTTCTTCCTTTGTCCTCCCTTGCCTTCTAATCTCCATCTCTTACAAGGAGAGAAGGTAGAAAAGTTGGAAGGTCAATGTGATTTTGCCTTCAGCTCTGCCTCCTTGCTACCTTGCTGTAACAAACAAGGTCTACAAGGGAATATAACCCACTTCCCTTGGGATTGGCATACACCTGTGGATGCAATTGCTCTAATCAAAGAACACTGAACAGTGCCTTTGGAATTCTGATGTTCACTTTTAGGAAAGAGAACATCAGAAAGGAAAGCTGTCTGGCTATTAGCTCAACAACAAAAATACTAGTTGTCAATGCCTTTCTTCATTGCAGTTTGTGTTGGAAGTGGCACTGTCCATTTTTTCATGAAACAGTGACTGACAAACAGGATCTCTTTGGAAGTGTAAACATGAGTATTTGGCAGATCTTTTTTAAAATGAATGAAGTGAGTCTGTCATGTGAAGAAAAACAACTGGCAATATATTTGTTAACAACAATCAAGTTCAAGTTTTCAGAAGAAAAATTAGAACTTTTGAAGTCTTGTTGCCACCCCTATGACTTCATAACTTCTCAACACATCCGCACTTTTCTGATGAGATTGGTGATTATAACAAACCTGATTCTTTCTGATGTTGCTTAATAAATTTGACAATACTTATAAGATTTGCATAATTCAATGAACAGGATTTTTCAAATGGTCAGTCATACATTCTACAAAATTATGCATGAGTTATAACTCCATTCAAAGCAAAAGAGAAACCAATGAGAGATTTAATGTAACAAGATTAATTGATTCATCATTATAGCTTCAGATTCCACATTCCAATTAAGCTTGAAGAAACTAGCACTTACTTAGTTTTGGTGTGATATCAAGCAAGAATATCTAGAATTGCCCGGAAAGCTTACAAATAATTTCCCTTTTACAACTGTAATTTATTTGAGGTCATATTCTCCCCAAATCAATAGGTGAAACATAGATTGAGAATCCAGCTATCTTCTATTAAGCCAAAGATATCTGAAAAAACTGTAAGACAATGTCATGCTTCTCATTAATTATTTGTTCTGAAAAATGAAGCTGTCATTATTAAAATACATTATCTATTTTAGACCAAAATGAGGTTCATCTGATACTCTGTTACATTAATAGCCACTGACTTTCTTGCACTTTAAATGGAATCTTTACCCATGCATGATTTTGTAGAACACAAGATTAGTCATTTGAAAAATATTGATTTCCAATATTATTGTTATTTTTAAACAAAAATAATTTTTAAAATTATTTGTTTTAATTTCTTTTTTATTTTAAAGAGAATTTTTTAAAAAGAACAATAGCAAAATGCCAACAACATAGACAAAAACAAAACAAAACAAGAACAGTAACAATGATACAGGATTTCAGAACAAAATGATAGGGATTAATAGTGGTTGTTACATTACATATTTTTACCTTCATCAAAGTTGGTCAGATCACCAGATGTAAGAATGCAAGATTAACCAAACCATAAAAGAGAATAAAAAATAAAACAAGAAATTATAAATGATACAGTTTCACCAAACAAGATGATAGGAATTCAACAATGGTTCCTATGTTGCATATCATTGTCTTCAAATTAGTTGTTCAGATGACCAGATATTCTTACAAATTAAATATCATAGATATAGTTCACATAAACAAAAGATCTTTGGGGTCTTCAGTAATATTGAAGAGTGTAAAAACCTCCCTAGACCAGGTAATGGGAGAATCTTACCACCAGGTATACGATCATAGTAAAGCAGTAAGTAGAGCAGGAGTGCAAAGGTAGAAGGACGCTGGGGGTTGAAAGTGGCCTTGCCCTAGAGTGGATGCAGCTCACAGGTTGTGAGATTCAGATGGAGAAAGCAGAGGAAGAACGTTGTGAGGAGAGGCATAGCAGTGGGAACTGCCATGGCAGACTTGGAGGACTGTGAGTCCTGCAGGAGGGTCCTTGTCATGCTTCACATCTCTATTTCTTTTTCCATCTCATCTTTCCATTGCTTCTATCAATCACATATCTTCTCTCTCCCTGTCTACAGAATTTCTCTGATTTTAAGGGCTCATGTGATTCTATTGGGTTCACATAGATAATCCACAGTAATCTCCCCCTCTCAAAATCATTTACCTTAATCGTATTGAGAATGACCCTTTTGATATGTAAGATAACATATCCCGGGCATACAGTGACCCCTCACCTATCACGGGAGTTCCATTCCAGAGACCCCTGCAATGGGTGAAAATTTGTGAAGTAGTGGTGTTATATTTATTTTATTATTTATATATATTTTAAGGCTTTATAAACCCCTCCCACACTCCTATAAACATTTCTCACTCTCTTATTAACCTTTCCCATGCTCTTATAAACACTCCATATGCTCTTAAACATTTTCTACACTCTTAAACCTACATAATTTTAAAAACATGTAAAATTCTGTATGGGCACTTGATGTGAAGTGGACAAGGAGAGATACCGAACACATGGGCACAGTGCAGGAGAGCAAACACACTGATGCCACAGTCACTGAGTCAATCAGTGCCCAGGATATAACACACAGTGCCAGTGGTTGGTTGCCTTCCATTCCATCAGGCAATAGTGTGCCTTGTACAATCTTATGGTGGCCAGCTTGCGCAAGTGGTAGTGGTGTACTGCATTTCCATTGTGTATAGTATCGTATTCATCCACCGATGAAATACATACTGTATTTTATTTTGATTTAATATTCTTTTAATATGTTTGAATTAACATTTTTTATTTTTTATATTGTTTTAAATTTTTAGGCAAAAATAATTAAAATCATAAATATTATATAAATACCTACATACCATAAAATCCCACGATATAGTGAAAACCCCGCAATACAGAATTCGATATATTTTTTTTAAAAACCCACAATACAATGAAGCTGCAATAAGTGAACCATGATAGAGTGAGGGACAACTGTATTTTAGTCAGTCTTCCGTCACTATAACAAAATACCTGAGACTAAATAATTTATGAAGGGGGCTGGAGATTTAGCTCAGCGGCACAGTGCCTGCCTGGCAAGCACAAGGTCATGAATTGGATTCCCCATAAGGAAAAAAAAAAAAAAAAAAAGAAAGAAAAACTAAACTAAATAATTTATGAAGGATATAAATGTTTTTGGTTCATGGATCTGGATACTGACAGACCCAAAAAAGCCACTGGGAATTGCTTAGCATGCAGTGAGTATCTTCTTGCTGTGCCATACTATGATGGTAGAGGGCATCATGTGGTGAGAGCAAGCATGCTGGCTTGGATCTCTCTTCCTCTTCTCATAAAGCCACTAATTCCATGACAAGGGCCCCATCCCATGATGTCATCAAATCTAATCATCTTTCAAAAGGGTCCACCTCCAAATGCCTTTAACATATGAATTTGGCATTAAGTTTCTAACACATTATGCATGTCCATGTCTTGTAAACTGGGCAACTATTTTGAAGATAACAATATGCAATGTATTAACCATTGTTAATCTATTACCTTGTTTTGAAATTCTGTATTGGATTTTGTTTTTTTTTTTTCTCTTTAAAATAAGAAAAGTTTCTAACACATGGATTTTGAAGGACACATTCAAAGCATACCAGAGGAGTAGAAAATAAACATTTTTAAGGACCATTATTTGGCCAACCACACTATGGCATATTTTTTGAGCAAGGAAGTAGCATAACAACAGTGGTTTTTAGCAGGAAAACATGTTCCAATATTTACCCAGCATGGGACTGATCTAGTGCTAGTCTTTGGGCAGAGCCCTGACTCCTCCATGTGTCTTTAGTGTAATGCAGATGACACATCCAGGACATCTGCTGATATTCTGGTAACCGTATCACATTCCCATTATGAGCCCGCCTTCATGTGTTATTCAGGTCACCAAAGAGACAAATATGTAGCTTCTGGAAGCAGCTTCTTCTCTTCATTTTATATCTCTGGAATATTCCAAGAAAACAAAAGACACAGAATTACCATACTAGATCCCAAGAGTCAGCATTTCAGCAGTGGGTATGAGGGGTGGGATCCTCCCCTCCAGCACTGAGATCTCTTGTGACCTTTCACAAGACCTGAGAATTTTGTTAAATGGTGTGGTCTGGTTACCAGACCTTGACCTAGAAGGCAACTCTTGAACGAGTGTTTGCCACATCATTACCAGTACTCTGAGGAGAGTACATTAAGCTTAAATGCTTTTGAGTAATAATTTATCAGGATGGCCAAATTTTTAAAAAATGCTTGAATTAGACAAAAGAGACCCATAAGATGGATGAAGCTCAAATATTTTCCCAACATACGCTTTCTTCTGAATATAATTTAAATGTCTGGCTTCCCTTCGCATTTATGTGTGATATGTTCACTAATTAAGTAAGGAGGACAAGAAGGGAATCCCTGTGGTATAAATTCCAAACACAACTGCAGATTCATCCAAAGGTCACTTATAAATCATAACAAGCCCAAATTCATAAGCAAGTCTCAAACAGAATCAAGTATCCTATAAAAATTAGACAAAAATCACAAAAGCCGTTACACATAACCCCTCAAGATTTTTTATGAAAACAGGGTGCTTTTCTGCAGTCAGGCAAACAACTCACCCCGGGCATTCCTAACTATTGATGCTGACTATGGCAGCACAAGAATGACATTTGGCAACTTCCACTGTGCAAAATTATCATCTGTTCAGTTCTCCTGGGTGTGTGCAGTTCACTAGTTTAGCCCAAGCACGCTTTCTCAAGGAAAAGATGTCATAAAGTCTGAACATTTGCTCTAACACATTCTCATTTCTCTTTTGCAAGATTGTCCTTTTCTAATTTTTATTGGTACATGTTTGCATTGCATAATGACTGCAATCCTCTTGGAGAGATGGTCCATATTTAAAACACATCTTAATTCTTTCTTCATCCCCTTCCTCTCCCATCCCTCCCCCACCCTCCATCTCTGGTCCTCTTATCTTTTGCAAGAGATTTATCTCCCTGTGTCCTATTATCTGTCTTTTATTTTGCTCTTTAGTTTATTTATACTTGCAGTTCCTTCTGAGAAAGCCACCACAGCCCAGGTAGCTATGAACACCATTACCTAAAATTTCCTCCTCTCCTTCCACTTCACTGTCTTATCTCCAACTTTAACCCCTCCCTTGGGACCCAACGTGTTGTCCTAATTACAGACAGATGTAACCCAGTGGACTACTGTGAGAAGGCTATGCTCCATTCCAGGCAACTCAACATTTGTTACCTACACACCCAACCCCATTTCAACTCATAACTTGAGTAGTTTCTAGGCGTAAGAAGTAAGATAGATAGGAATGTCCAAATATGGAAGGTCAGGGAAAAGTCCTAAATTGAGTGGTCTTGGGCACTTGCCTAAGAGAATGAATGCACTGGCGTTCTGGTAAATAGGCTCAAGGAGGGTAGAAAGTTTCCACAAGGGAAATGCCAACACATTAAAGGAAAATTGTATCTACTTCCTAGGTTTGCCTTTGCTTCTGGTCTGCCATTTGTGTGGGCTTTTTAGTAGCCACCATTGCCCTGAGGAGGTAGTTAGCCTCAGACTTGTGTCTAAATAGTTTGTTGCCTGCTGTGGGGATTACAAGTAGTTGGGAAATTTTCTTTGAACTCCCAATTTTACTGAAGAATTCAAGAGAGAAAAAAAGACCCTTGTGAGTCGGTGGCTTGAAAATCCAGAAATGGCAGTCCTCCTGCTCCTAGAGGGTTGCCCTCCGAGGTCAGGCAGTTCCTAGAAATGGTGCATGAACTTCCCAGAAGCACAGGGGCAGTCAACCAAGTCAGTCCAAAGCAAGCCAACCAGACAGAAGCCCGCACCCCAACTACTCCCTTTCTCACTCTGAGCCTCTAACCATCCTCCCTAATTACACCACGGCCAGGTACCAATCAACTAGGGCTGGCACCTGTGCCCCACAGGCCGATGAGATGAAATGATTGGTCCGAGCCAATCCGAAACCCGCCTTGCCTTTGCTTCTCATAGACACCAAAGAGATGGCTCTTGTTCCAGTTCTCACCTCCCCCTCTGCCTCTCAACAGACCTCAGCACTTCTCCACGACCTCTCCAGCACTGCATGACCCCTTCTCTGGGGGTCTGTGAGTACAACAGTCTTTTCTCTGCAAGTCATCTCTGGATCTGTGGACTTAGTATACCTAAATAATAGAGTTGATATTAAATGATATGGGCTGAAACCTGCTCTTTGAAGCAGATGATCTTTAGAGTTTGTTGTAGCTCTAACCTCTTTTTATCCTCTTACTTTCAACAGGAACTCATTATGCTGTCTTTAAAATAGATAATTTGGTTATAAATAAGGTCTTGAGCTTCTGAAGTTCCCCATTCTTTAATGCCAAGGTTTTTCTGAATCAACAGTCACATAAAGAGAGATTGCATAAGAGCCGTTCCTTAAGGAGAGGCGGGGGAAATGTTAATGCTGTTTTGAGAAGGCTTTCATATTGTTCTGTTACAGCCAAGGGATAAAAATCACCCTAGTATGACCTTCCTGGGCTCCTTTAGACTTCTTCTTCCCTTAGCTTTTCTTGGCCATTGGATACAACAGTAGAAGTTTCCTTTTTTATAGCATGATTGTTTAAGATTGAATGTATGCTGGGAAGAATCGGGAAAATATTTAGATAAAATTGTCCCTTTAAAAAGCACTGGAATAGATAGATATAAGACAAACAGAAGAAATATACCCTAGTATGTGAAGGATTAGATTAGAATGGGAATATTGCTGAACACTGCATAAGTGAAGTAAATTCTAATCTGCATGAACAGTGATTCACCATGTAGTCTTAATCCTGCAGCCTATTCTTCTTTGCCTTTACTTTATTTTGAAAAACAATTATTACAATGTTTCTCCAAATACATTTCATTGAACTGTTAGGAGGAATCGTTTGACTTTCAAAATAAGTCTGAAAATTGCTTTCAGACGTTACAAAACTTGCAGGGAAGGGTTCTGTGCAAGGCAAAATTATGTGTGAGGGAATAAACAAGAAAGTGCACTGTGGTTCAAGAATCAACACTTTGGTTCAAGTTGTGATAAAGTAGTGCCACGCTTATTTGAAACCAAGAAAACAGCTTTTTCCTCCAGACACTTTTTCATGAAATTTTTTTCAGTTATTATGTTTGATTCTGAGAATGTACCCATTCACAAAACCTCCGGGAAGGCAGACAAAACGGATGTATAACCTTCTGAATGCAGCCAAGATTCAAGCCGAAGTACAGTTGGCCGGTCATTTGAGAACGTGGCAAGGAAAAGACACACCTTTCCACTCTACCTCCAGCTGTCAAGTGAAGCCTTCCAAATATTCTGAGAAACAAGATGCCTCTGACTCACATTCTGCTTGCCTTTGAGTCTTGTTCAAAATATTTTGCTCAAACAAAAAGGGAAAAAACAGTAAAAGTCAAGGAACTAATTTTATACAGAAGGGAAATCAAGTTGTGTAATCTCTCAATGATATTGTCTACAAAAGAAAATCTTGGAAAAACGTCAACACCTTTATCTATGCTAATATGAAAATGAAGGAAAGGAGTTAAGGCACAGCGGGCTGGGGGTGCTCCTTCAGGAAGACGGCTCTTTCTCTCTTCTCTGCAAACACTTGAAGGACTGCAAAACCTTCCCCCAGAACTTTTTCTGAGGTTGGAGAAACCACCTTCACCTGCTAACATCAAATCTCTCTGTCAATGCAAATTTAAGCCCCCAAATAGCTAGTTTGAGATATAGAAAAATAAATACATTCATGGAATCCTCCAAGAGTGTATGAGTTTGGCTGGTTTTGCCTTACTTTAAGGTCAAAACAATCCTGAAAATCCTGAAGACTTTTCCCTTGAAGAGTGAATAGCACTTCCACTTGCCACTAAACTGATCTCACCTGTAGGGCCAGGAATTCTTTGGTATAAAAGAACAGACAAAAGTTAATACACTGTGCGTACCATCTTGCTGACCTTTCACTGTGACAGTGAAGTAGGTAAGCCTCAGAGACCAAACTACATGCTGGAACTGACCCTGAGGCCTCCTCTATAGACGGTGTGTACAAGGCCTCAGTCCGGGCCCATCCCTCCCCTTGCTACAGACAACTGAGGGTCCTTACCTGGATTACTGAATATGACAGAGAGACTTAGGGCATCCTTATAGGTACCCCCTTCCATCCACACCTCCATTCTGCAGATTCTAGAATGCCAGAAGATTCTGGGCACAGGCCTTTGAGCCTGTGGGGCTGGTAAATAAAACTGTGAGGTGAAGAGTGAGAGGCTGGCATTCCCAAGGGCAAGACTAAGCGGATATTGTCTCTGTCCTTTCTTTGCCTCTCTCCATTGCTTCTTTCCTTTAGGAAATATTTTAAGCAAGACTCAAAGTGTAACACAACCCGAGTCACAGGCACCTTCTTTCTCGTAAGCTTTTGGATATATTCACTTGGCACCTACAGGGGATGAAGAAAGGCGAGCCTTCTCCTCCTTGAGTTCTTACATGTCCAGCCAACTGCACGTCAGCTTGGGTACTGACCCACTTCAGAGGCCTCTGGTTATCTATTCCTTTTGATGGTTTTCCAAGGAGTCTATTTTCAGAAACAAAAGGACTTGTCTGGAGAAATGCTGAATTTTCTTGTCAAGGGAAATTGCCAGGGAGACTTGTTAAAATACAGATTACTGGGCTCCGTCTCTACTTTCTAAATTAGTGGTCTGGAGCTGAACAAGTTCCAACCAGTTCCTGGGTGATGAGTTCTAACGAGTTCCATCTCTGACAAGTTCCCAGGGTTCATTGCGAATGGAAGCAATGGTTGCCCGGGACTCAGCGTTAGATACGCAGCCATTGACCCTCACTGGTAGGACAGCTCCTGCCAAGCCATCTCTTTGCCCTGTCCTGGCAAGAGGCTATTTCCCATATGAATGGAAGACGGTGAAATACTGGAGCTTGTCTTCTTACAGTGGGAATCTTACATTAGGCATCCATTTCTTTGTGACTGTTATACGCTTCTCTTCGATGGTTATTTATTTCTGTCCCTCACATATCAGTGACCACAAGATCCTGTATATTCTGTAATATAAAGATCTACAGAGCCTCTTTGTCTCTATTCCCTTCCTCACACCACAATTCTCTCACCTAGATTTCTGCAACGTTTTCTGTCTGGTATTCTTTTCTTACCACTCTCCAACTGATTTCCAGTCCACCATCAGAACCAGTTTCCTAAACCGAAAATATAATCCTAAAACTGCGCTCCTCAGAATTCCTCCAGCGCTTCTTTGCCCCTCCGCACAGAGGAAGAAGAAAGGTGATGTCTGGGGTGTACTTCCTTTTCCTTCCTGCCATCCTCTTCCTTTCTCAGTCACACCAACACCCTTAGCCTTCCAAACCACACCTGACAGAGAAGGAAGAGGTTAAGTTGGTCGATCTCTTCTCACTTAAAACTGCTACTCTTTATTTCAGTTCAGTGAGCATGTATAAGTGCTTAGCACTTGCAGCACTTTGTGTTTTCTTGTAATGCTTTGTGCTTTTGCACCAATCCTCACAAAACTCAGGGGGAGTTCATAGGTAAGGACTACGACGTGCAGCTACCTAAGGTAGCTAATTAGATAAGTATGGAAAGAGGATGGAGTTGGGTCGGTAGGGTCCTGTGTGGGTTGTTTGCCATTAAACCTCCCAAGAGTCTTCATGTACTTTTCACACACATGACTTAGTAGAGATGAAGAGAATGAGCCCTGACTCCTGATTAAAAACAAGGTTCTGCCGTGAGGTAACCATGAGTGCTTACGCATCTTTTTGAGTTTCCATTTCTCCAACCTGAATTAACTGCTACTGGTTTCATTATTTCTGTAATGAGCCCCTGTAACTAAGAGAACAAATGTTTCTAAAATGACCCCTGTGTCTTCTACTTCCAGAGATCCACACCTCTGTGACACCCCTACTCCCATCGCGTGTCCTCCCAGAAGTTGTGTTGGCAGCCTGGTCCTCAGTCCAGTGCCCAGAGGGAAGTCCTCAGGACAAGCACGGTGTGGTTTGGAGAGATTAAAATATACCTCATGGGACCTGCTTAGCACTCAAGAGAAGGTTGCTACAAAAGCCAGTGCCTGGCCGCACCAGTGTCTCTGACTTCCTGTTTCAAGATGTATCTTTCCTCCTACATGTACTCCTTGGGGCCCTGTCCAGAGTCTGCTCTATACTTCTTGGACATTTATCCTCTAAAATTGTGAACTGAGTAAGACTTTCCTCTTTTTGTGCCTTCCTCAGGTAATAATTGTGATGAAATATGGATTAATACAACATTAAATTAAGGCTCCTGATCAGCTTGATGTGGAGTTCATCAAAAGGAGATAGATGATCCAAGAAGGGCCTGCCCAGTTGAGTGATCCTTTAAGAGAGGGCTATTCCTCTCCTGAGCTCAGAGGCTCTGGAAAGCTGAGATTCTCTTTCCTGTTGGTCCTGAAAGAACAAACCACCATCTACAAACCAAAGGAAATACATTTTGCCAGCATTCAAAGGAATTTGCAAGAAGACCCCGAGTCTCAGGTGAGACTACAGTGTCTTGAATGCATCCATGACAGATCATAATCCGAGGAACCAGCTGAGCTTTGGCTTGACCCTTGACCCATGGGCATATTAAATAATAAATGTGGGCTGCTGTTAAGTTTGCATTAATTTTCAATGCAGCAATAGCAAACTAACACATCTCTTCTTCCCTGAACATCACCACCAACAATCCCCGCTTCAAAAAGGAGGTGTGGGGGAGGACAAGGATGAAAGGCAGACTGAATGGAGCTGGTCTGTTGGCAAGCACATCCTTACCCAGCCCTAGCCCTGAATAGGGAGAATAGCTTTCCACAGTGCTGCCCTGGGAGCCAGAGGATGTCCTGAGGGGAGTGCGTGAGAGAGGGCTAAGACATTCTTTTTCTGTTTTCCTCACAGTGCTGCCTGTTTATGGAATTCCAGAAGGTGAGAGCTGTGCCAGGAGAAGAAGGTGAAACTGGCTCTGCCTTCAGGGAGATGCTGGCAGCTGTGAGAACTACAGGATGAAGCATCTGAAACCCAGCATGTGCTAAGCCTGGAGCTGGATGTGTTAGGGCTGGGGCACAGAGTGCCAGAGAGCGTTTGGTGATCCTAACGTCTTCAGTAGTGTACTTCCTTTCTTGGATGAAATGTAGAAAGCAGTTCTGGCATAGATGTTCTGACTAAATGAAAGGACCTAGCACAAACACCACTGCAGCGGATGTGCCCTCAATTCCCTCCCTGGGTCTTCTGAAGGGACCCTGGGTCTCTGGGAAGACGCATCAGGTTTATGGACCTTGCACTTCCACAGAGGTGTGGCAAGTGCACTGTGGCTGGTGGGGAGAAGAGCCCTATAAGAGTATGCATCCTCTCTGCCTGTCTGCAGGGCTCTGAGGCACACATCAAGAACAGACACTGCTGTCTTGTTTCCAACTGTTCCTCCACTAGGCTTGCAGCTGGTGGATGTCAGAACTGTCTCTGGTGCTCCAAAAATGGTTCTACCATGAGTTTCAGCTAGAATGTGGACCGATGTAAATTCCATTCGCACTTGTAAGCTGTATCAGGGATGTCAATTTCTTGCCTTGGGGGCACAACATTTCAATGTCATGGTGTCTTAGTTGCTTTCTTATCACTGAGACACAATACCAGCACCCACAAATTAAAGGAGGAAAAATTTATTTTGGCTCCCATTTTGCAGAGTTTCAGTCTACAGTCAGCTGGCTCCAAGGCAGGGTTGTTTTGCAGAGGGGCATCGCAGAGGAGGAACAGTCCATGGCAGAGCAGGCAGGAAGCAGAGTGAGATCAAGGGAGGAGGGAAGGACATAGACCCTTCTCCAGTGACCTGCCTCTTCCAACCGGCCTTCACTTCCCACCATCATGCCCAGCTATAAACCCATCAGTGGACTACCCAGTATCACACACTCATGATCCAGTCATCTCCAAAAGTCCTACCTACTCATGTGTGGGACTTTGGGGGGACATCTGTATAAAAACCATAGAACACGGGCATGAAATAGAAGTTACCACCATATCCATTCTCTCATTTACAATACTTGGTTTCATAACTTGTCCACAAACTATACATCTAATCCTCACAAACTCTCACATACACCATTATAAACACAAACAGTAGAAACAAGGTTCTCTTCAGACTTTGTAGTTTGAGCCCTTGGGAGTTCTTGTACAAGATCTTGTACACCTGTAAGTTGTCTGAGATAGTTTTTGGTAGTGTGCTGAGAGAAGAATCATTGATGAAAAGTATTCCTTTTTTCCTCCAATACTTTACTGAACATCATGTGTCTAGCATTGTTCTAGCCTCTGTGGATACTGCAGTGAACTAGATAGACACTATTTCTACCATCACAGAACTTATATTCTTGAGGTACTCTTGAATATGTTCAACACCATCCAAAAGGGTGTGGTCCCAGATAGAACAAAATAAGAAGAAGCAGAGGGTCTGCCCTTCTCTCTGCATCCTGGCTGCTCTAAGGTGAGCAGGTTTCCTATGGTTTCTGCCTTGTTGCAAGCCTAAGAGAAATGGAGCCAGCTGACATAGACTGCTGTAAAAATAGTTTGTAGAACACATAAATACACAGGTAATTTAGAGTAAAATAAAGACACTGCTAGAAGTAAGCATGGGAATGGGATAAAGGGAATCAGATGAGGGCCTTCAAAAAGAGCAATCCAGACAGAAAAGCTTCTTTGAGGAAGAATTAAACTGAAAGCTTTAAGCTGAGAAGAAGCTGATCAAGTCAAGAGTCCAGGAAACTGTGTCTAGAAAATATTACAGGAAAACTGAATGTCCTGAATCAGAAGAGGGCATAGGTATAAAAATCATCAAAATAATAGGACCATAACTGGAATTTAACAGCACATTAAAAGATTCAAATTCCATGATCAAGCAGGACCTACCTCAGAAATTTTAGGAAACTTCAATATATGCAAATTGACCTGTGTGATACACCACATTGATAGAATGAAGGATAAAAAAATCACATGATCATCTCAGTAGTTGCGGGAGGCGTGTGACATAATCCACCAATTTTATGATAAAACTCTCAACAAGTTACACATAAAAGAAATGACCCTCAATGGAATAGTGCCAGTGTGATACACCCACAGCAAACATACTCAACAGTGACAAGATAAGCTTTCCCTATGATCTGGAGCAAGACAAGAATGCTCCTCCTTTTGACACTTCCAGCAAATATGGTACCGGAAGTCTTTGGGAAACCAAGGCAAGAAGAGATATAAAAGGCATCTAAATCAGAAAGAAGAAGTAACATTTATTTCATCCTCATAGCTACCTGGTTGGCAGGGCTTGTTACTCGCATACCACTGGGGGTCCAAAGAGTCTTGTCTAAGGAGATGGCAAGGGAGTGACAGAGCTAGGTTCCAACCCAACCCTGCCTGACTCCAGAGCCCACACTCTCCTTCCACTCCTCCTCTGCTGGAGCAACAGGGTGCGCAATTAATTTTAGGGTTGTAAGGACACCAAGACTGGGTTTGTTCTCTAGATGGGGCAAGTTCCTGTTATTTCTAAGTGGAAGCCTGGCAGGAGAGAACTCAAAATGTCACATGATAATTACATTTGCCTCTGGTGCTCAAGACACTTTTATGAATGGCTCTCACCCCAGAGATACACTTTGTCAAGCTGCCTGCTTCAGAGTTGGAAGCCTGTGTCCTGTGGGCACAGAGCTGGAAGTAGTCTCAGTCCCTTGAAGTAGCCTGGTAGTGGCTGGTGGCAAAATGAGGTCAGAATTTGAAGTCGGGTTTGTTTGTTTTTTTTTCTCGCTAGACACCTAGAAATTTCCTGGCAAGAGCGTGGGGCTTACACACATCTCTCACACCACTTTATAATGTGACTGAATCACATTAGGCTAATTTTGAATTCTTTTTTTTCTTCACCTCTGACTAGAGGTTCAGGGAGGAATGGACCATTGATGAGCCGATCGATTTAACAGACTGTTGAACTTCTCTATCTATCCAGGCCTAGAGAACAAACATTAGACCCGCCATTCCCTGATGCCCGACTTCATTTTGCAAAACGCTTTTCAGCTATGGACTTTACTTAATGGGCTATATTCTTCCTGATTAGGAACAGAGATACTACCAGGGAAGGGGATGGGAGGGAGGAAGGGAGTGGTAGTAAATCCTGCAAAGGCAACTTCCAACCCTGGGATTATCTAATTCAATTAGGATATATTTGCATTGACAAAGATCTTATTCAATACTGGTCTCCTTGCATTAGAAAATCCAAATCTTTTTTGTCATATTTCTTATTCATATAATACCAAAGTTGACCCCTTAGGTCACACTGGTAAACCACTGACATCTTAGAAAAAGCACTAGACCATACACCTGTGTGGTTTGTTTTCAGTATTTAAAAGATTATCTTATGTTTTAGTAAGAGTAAGTCTTAGAGTCATGGATGCTACTGTTAAGCTTCCACAAGCAAACTGCCATACCAAGCAGCTATAGCTTATTTCAAGGCTACGAACACTTACGCTAATTGATTAAAAAGGTCATAAGCAATACATGGTAAAAGTATTACATAATAGTTTTAAAGTAATAAAATATCAATGTTTATTTTTTGTTTTCCTAGACTATATTTTTTAAAAACTATGCATGTGCCTTTAATGACCTTTGTGGATAGTTGGACAGTGGTACAAGAAAACAGAATTGGGATGCATTAAAACACTCCATGTACTGTTATGTGCACACAACTACAATAATTGATGTGCTAGGCACTTCATATTTAAATATCTGAGTGATTCATCCCAATGCTTTAAGAAGCTAGCAGAAGATGTGATAGTATTAGCTGATGGAAGGTTTGCAACAGTTTGCAAAATTTTATTTTGTTTAATTTTAGAATGAGTTTCCAGTTCTCAGCACTATTAAAACTTACTACTAATTGATCAGTAGTAAGTTCCCACTAATACAGTAGTAATACAGGAACTTAGTAGTAATTTCCCACTATTACATTAGTAGGATACTAAGATCCCACTAATACAGTGGGATCACTGTATTAAAACTTAAAATTGCCATCTTTCTTTAATACATTCAATAATGTCTATTGAGCAACTATGTAATGGTTGGACTTGAATAAGATACAAATTTAATTCTATTAAAATTATAATCAAATACAATTCAAATAAAAATTTCATAGAAAAAGCTCTTTCATAGAACTTTTATAAGCTAGTTTAAAAATCTGATGGAAAAGCAAAGGGTCAACTGCAGAGGATCATTTTAGGAAAAGCAAAGGATCATTTTCGTGAAAAGAAACCAAATTAGGCCATCTCCACTTCTGAGAAACAAGACTTATAATACAGGCAGTGTGTACAGATGCAAGGATAAACAGTGGGCCAATAGATCACAATAAGAAAACCAGAAACAGACTTAGATTGATAAAGAATATACAGAAAGTAAAAACAATACTCACATTGGCAAGAAAAGAATGCACTATTTAATAAATGGTGCTGCAGCAATCATTTACACATACGACAAGGATAAAATAATATTGCTACCATACAACCTCACAAAAGCCAATTTAAGGTTAATAAAAAGCCTAAATATGGAAAGAAAATCTGTAAAACATGTATAAAAATATAAAAGAATATCTGTGTGTTTCAGAACTTCTTAAACAATGTGATAGTAAGATTCATTTTTTAAAAAATTATCAATTGGTTACAATAACATTGGGTTGAAATTAAACATTTCTGAATTTAAAGAAATGCTATGAACAGAGCAAAACAAACCACAGCTTGGGACCAGATAGGCATTTAGGGCATTAATAAAACCTGCAAATCAATATGAAAACAATTAAAACTCAACAAAGAAGGAAAATCCATATAGGCAAGAAATTCATGAAAAGACACTCAACTTCAAAAACAAGGTTAAGCAGCAACACACTATTTCACAGCAATCAGAATGGATAAATTTATAAATATGACAATACAAAATGTTGCTATTTTTATAGAATGGATTATTACTCAGGCATAAACAAGGATAAACTTGAAACTTCTATAAGTAAATGGATGCAACTTGAGATCGTATTCATAAGTGAAATAAATTAGAATGACGTGTAAACATCGTATTGTCTCCCTGGTGTGAGAAACTGAAAAGGTAAATAAGGTCTGAAATGTACAATAGATATTGTGAAACAGGAAGAAATTGTTCAAAAAGAACTAGGATAGGGGAAAGGACAGAGGGGAAAAGGGAAAAACTGCAAGTCAGTTGTACTATTAGTGTCTCCTAGCTTATTGAAAAGGAAGGTGTGTGCTCACATTGACTGGAGAAAGTTTTCTGCCCATATCTTGTACTCTGAGTAACTACTTTATAGATAACAACATGCAATGTATTAGCTATTGTTATTCTCCTATTATTTTGCTATGCAATTTTGTTATATATTTTTTCCATAAAATAAAAGAAGAAAAAATATGTTGGTAATGATGTAGAACAATGATATCTTGCATGTACTGCA